CCTTAGGTGGCCCTCCCTATGGGGCCGCGAAGCCCTGTGCTGGGTGGGGGAGCCGCATGCGAACACCGCCATTGAGGCCTTCGATGGGGCTCCCTGTGGGGCCACGAAGCGTGTAAGGGGTGTGGTGAAATTGGTGGCGATGATGGTGACGATAACGGTGGTGATCATGACGTCGATGATGATGACGATGACATGACCATGACGATGACGATGACGATGATGATGATGCTGATGATGCTGATGATGCTGATGATGATGATGATGATGATCCTGATGCTGATGCTGATGACGACGACGACGAGGACATGCGCAGGGCAGAGGCAGTGATGGTAGGAGGGAGGAGGGGGAGGAGGAAGGAATGAACAACTGAGGGAACGCGGGGCGCTGTCTCTTCAAAACGAGGACCCAACAGCACAGGATGGTTGTGACTAAAACATGTTTTTTGGTGGGTCCCTGGACTTCCTGGCCGCTGGAGGGTGCATCAAGATCCCCATAAGATGCCACCGCGCGGCCAGGGGGCCGACGAGGCCTCAAAGACGGCTGTCGAAGGCTCCGAAGGTGGCCTGAAGAGCTCAAGACGGACGAAGATGGCCCCACGCTGCCCCTCAGATGGTCCAGGAGGGCCCCAAGACGTCCCCGCGAGGGCAAACGACAGTGAACAGCTACAACGTTTTCGATACTTTTGCGTGTCCCACCTTTTGCTCCGAAGATGACCAAAGAGCGTTTCAAACTGAACCCGAAGCCCCCGATGTTGCCCAAGACGGCCCCATGGTTGCCCGAAAATGCCCCAATCCCAATCTGCCGCCAAATCGCCCAGGATGGGCCGATAAGGCCCCATGATGGCAGGGCAGGAAGATGCCCTCAAGGTGAACCCCAGAAGCTTCAAGATAGCTCTAAGATTGCCCAAGATGGCCCGAAGGTGGCCCCAAGCCGAGAGGTGCCACGATGGCCCCCAGACCGTTCCAGAAACAGCCGCAATATGGCTCAGCCTTGGGGGCCGGCGGCAGAGGTCGCAAGCCTCTGGATCAGCTCTCCACTCTCCCCCTCCATACCCCTATCCTCCCACCTCTCTCATCCTCCCCCCTCCCCCCTCCCCTCCTCTCCTTTCCTCTCCAGCATGTCCGTCCGCATTCTGGCTGGCTCCTTCTTCCCGTCCCTGCAATACCCTTCTCCTCGCCCTGCGCAATCCTTGTCTCCTCTGCCCTCCTCTCGTCTTCTCCGCTGCTCTTCCGTCCGTGCTCGGACCGATCCGCTGAAAGATGATGAATGAAGAACACACACACACCAGTACTCACAGGGGGGTCGGAGGGAGGAGGACTGGCTATGGGTATGGGTGCGGGTTGTCGGACCCCGGGGGAGGCTCCCGTTCAAGCGGGGACCCCCACCCGACAACACGCACTCCTAGCCCCTTCCGTCCCCCCTATGGGTATGGGTGTGTGTGTGTGTGTTGATCGTTCGTCAAATGATGGGGGTCCGGGGGCTCCGGTCGTGGTCCTCAGCAAGGTTGCAATCCCACTATCCCACTGGGCGCAGGTGGTCTAGGGCGTTTCCTTTTCCAACCTCCTTCCTTTCCCTGCTTGGGAGGTTCACCCCCCCCTCCACGCGTTTGGACGGGGGTGGGCCCGACCCATATCAGTGTCCAAGATGACCCAAGATGGCTCCAAGAGGGCCTCAGAGAGCGCAAGATGGCCTCCAAGATGGCCCAAGATAATTAGCGGTATATGGGTCAAGATAACCTCCGACACACGTCCAAGAGGCTTCAAGACGGCCCCAAGACGGTTTCAAGTGCTGTCCCGAGGCCTCCGAGGACCTCCCCAAGAGGCCCAAATCCTTCAAACACCTAAAGAACATCACTGTTTTTTTGCCATCTCGCTTTTTCGCCTCCGATGGGCTCTTGAGGCCTCAAGATGGCCCCCAAACGGCCCAAGATAGCCCCAAGAGGGGTCCAAGAGGGCCCCATGACGGCCCCAAGAGCGCCCATGAGCGCTCCAAGAGCGGCCCAAGAGGGCCCCAAGACGGCATTTTTGAGCCTCCGATGGGGGCGATGGGACTTGACCCCCCCCATCCTTTTTAGCGAAAGGGTCCAAGACGGCCCCAAGAGGCCCCTCATCCATAAAGAGCCCCAAGAAGGCCCCCAGACCCCCCAAATGAGCCCCAAGAAGGCCCCAAGACGCCCCAAAAGAGCCCCAAGGGGGCTCCAAGAAGGCCCTAAGAAGACCTCAGAAGAGCCCCAAGAAAGAGCTCCAGGAGGGCCCCAAGAGGGCCCCAAGAGAACCCCAAAAGAGCCCCACGATGGCTCCCAATTTCGAAACGCACGCGAGTTCAAGATACAAATCAGTGCAACAGCCATTACGAGTCATCGAAACGCCCCTCACCCCTGATCGAAGCACCACCGTAGCTTGCACCGATTCCCATCTTAAACTTCAATGTGGGAAGCTCCTTGTGATCCTTGTTTTCCCGAAGACGGCTGCGCAACTGCATGCGTCCTGCCGCCCCTGATTCACCGACTCCCCTGCTGATCGTTTCTGGATGGGCTGGTGGGGATATTTTTGGTCAGCGGCCGCGGGCGAGCGCGCCAGCGGCGAGTCGGGCCAAAGCGGGCTACGCAGAGACTAATTAGGCAGAGGCGACGCGCAAGGCAACAGCTACGCGGCAAGCCGAGGCCTCACGCAGCGGCCCAGCTGCAGGTGGGTGGCAGGAGGAACTGAAACTGAGTGGAACTGCCAGCGTGCAAAGATGCAAGTCCGTCGAAGGCGCCAGAAGTCGGGATATAAACGATGACCAGGGACAACTCCGAGAGACAATGTATGAGACCGAACCTCAAGCAGCCGCGTGGGCACCAGGGTGGCCGCATCCAACGAACCGCCAGTCGAGGTGGGAATGAGAAATGCAAAGGCGAGGCCCCGGACGTCGGCGTGAGCGCGAGAACCAGGGTGGTCCGAAGGACCGTCGGCCAAAGAATTGACGCCAGGAGGCGAGCGCATTGGCAGGCTGCAACTCCCAGGGTGGCGGAATCCGAGAGACCCCGAGGCAGCAGTACGCACGCAGCTGGTGGGGATATGCGAAGCGTCAAGTTTTTTTTGTGCAGCGTCGGACCCCAGGGAGCGGCAAAGGGCCGAATGCACAACTCGGCTACGCGTAAGGAGTGACCCAGGCAGGCAAGGGGTGACCTTGTGGTGCGCGGCTTTCGGGGTTGCTGGGAGGCCGAACCCAAGCGCGTCAGCCGTTGCTAGGGAGACCCCTGTGAGCCCGCACCAAGAGTCCCTCCGGCGAACGGTCACTCTGACGCGTAGCCGAACAAAGCGTGGGGCAAGGCCCAGGGCGCGGCGGGGAAGAGCGGGCGGCCCTCGCGGCAGAGCGCCCCTTCCGAGCCCGCAGAGCGGCCGAGAGGCAGTCTGTCCGCCGCCCCCCACGGGCAGGTGCGCCCAGCCGTGCATCTGCAGCTTTTTCCCCAACCAGCCTGTGGCGTTGGGTCATCGTTTTGAATGCGCATCGCCCTGCGTCTCCTCCCTCCCTCCTCCTCCCTCCTCCCCCGACGCCGCTGCGGGGCACGACGCGTCCTCCTGCCGAGTCGATCCGATCCTCCTCACCCTCCTCCCACCTCCCATCCCTGCCTCAGCCCTCCCCGTGTCCACTTCGGCGCGCCACTCACAAGTTGCGTGGCCCCATGGGGAACTCCATCGGAGGCCCCACGCCATGAGACATCTTTTGAGGGAGGAGGGAGCGGATCACTGCAGATGACCATCGCGTAAAGGGAAAGGTGAAACCGCAGAGCGGGCCTCGTTAACCACACGATCAGCCAAGTTACAATGGTGGCCTGTGAGCGTGATCGGTATTCTGGCTCAAGATCTGGGCAAAGAAGCGGGGAGGCGGGGGGAGAAGCTGAAACCTGACGTTGCATTTGCCGACGAGCGGCCTGAAAACCGAGCACAAAGGGGAACTACGAGAACCTCCCTTTTACGGCCGCCAGTCCAATTATCCCCCCCAGGCGCATTCCCTTCGTCGCTCTTTTTGCTCCTAGAGATGCAGACGAGGAGGGGGGGGGGACTGGAAGCGGAAAAAGGAGAAGGACCACGAGGAGGAGCAGAAGGGGGGAGCAGGAGGCACCTGGGAGGACGGGGAGGAGGGAGGAGAGAGTGGCAAGGGATACTTGGTGGGTGCAGCGAGTGTCTCCGATGTACTGCTGATTCGGATGCGCAATGAGAGAACCCTTACAGACGGAAGGGTAATACCTGGGAGAGAAACGCACGAGCTGCAGAGATAGCAATTGAGGGGAAACTCCCTCTGAAGACTCAACCCTGGGGAAACCAAAAGGTACCAACACCTCTACTCCCCGGACCTCTCCCGGGGTGCGCTCTGACCAGAATTTCGAGGCGAATCCAGCAGTGGCGACGAGGGCCTCCCAGGAGGCCGAAAAAAGGAAGCGAGGGAAGGGTAGCGGTATAGGTACCTTTTCCTCCTCTGATTTATCCTTTGCATCCCTCTCTGTTGTTCTTCTCCTCTCCTCTCCTATCCCCCTCCCCTCTCCACCACTATCGTCGCCTCTCCTCCTTGGGGTCCTCTCTCCTCATTCTCCTCCCTCACCCTCTGCTCTCCCCTCCCCTCCCTCGTTCCTTCTCTCTCTCTCTCTCTTACCTTTTCGCCCCATCTGCCCCTCCTCTTTCCCCTCTCTCTTTGGTCTCTCGCCTCTCGCCTCCCTTCTCTCCTCTCCCGTCGCCTATCTCGCCACTCCTCCTGTGAGCGATTTCGGAAACCCTGACACCAGAAACGTTTTTGTCCCTTGGGGGCGCATCTTTTACTTCCGTCGCATTCCGCCGAGGAAGAGATGACATCTCTTCCTATCCTCGAGGGCAAGGCCCTTTTCGGAACGCCACCTGTGTCCTCTTCAGAGGAGGGGGAGGAGGGAGGAACAGGGAGAGGAAGGACCATGCTGCCCACGAAGTCGAAGAAGCCCTCCAAGAAGTCCGGGGTGTGCTGCGCCGGGTCGTGCTTGGGCTTGCCTCCCAGGGCGCCCGCGGGCAACACACTCGCCGCCCCACTTTGCCCGCACCGCCCCATGATCGCCAAGACTCGAAAGGTCCTGGGGCGCCGTTTGGCACGGCGTCGTGCTGAATTCCGCCATCTGGCTGACAGGGACGACCGTGTGACAGAGAGCGCACAACCATTTACAGTCGAAGCGCTGTCATAAGGAAACCTGCACAAGGAACGATGCCTCCCTTTTCCAAACTTGCATTTCGATTTCCCATAGAAACCTGCGGAACACCCAAGACACATGGCAAAACGATAAAGGAACACCGTGTCCCTCCCCAGCGAAAATGTTTCCGTCTTCAGCGGCCATATTGTACGCTGCGCACAAACCAAAGAGTGCTCGCTCCTGCGCAGGGCCGCAAGGAGGCCCTCGGGGACGCGGCGGGCCTCGGGAGGCCGCTCAGCGGACCCGGGCGCAACACGGATGGAGTCCACCCTAGCTTTGGCCGCTCTACGCCTCAGCAGCGCTGCGGTACAACTCCCACACGTTGGTGTCGGGAGGCCTCTCACCCCCCAAGGCGTGAATCCAGGAATACTGAGCGGCCTCGTCCGCCAGGGTGTCGGCGAAACCGATCCCCGTGGCATGCAAACGCTCCTGAGGCGAGCGGGAGGGAGGTCCTCGGGATCCGTGCGACGGGTGCCAGACCACCTGGATCTCTCCCTCTCATGTCTCGGCCATCGCGGCACGGACACGGAACCACACATCCAAATCGGGGCCTTTACAGCCCTGGTGCCGTTTAGACTGCCACCCCCTATGGAGCGCAACATTTCTCCCTGACACAGCGCATTGGCCCAAAGAACTTCCGCAACGCCAGTTCAAAAGCACGGATCTCGGCTCGGGGCACTGTTTACCGGCGACCTCCAAAGGTCGTTGCGCAGCCACGGGCCCGCTGCCAGCCCCCCGAAACAAACTTCAACAACCGCACTTCAAGGTAGTCGCAACCGCGCCCACACCACGGCGACGAAGGTCACTGCTATACGGCTCGCCAGAGCCGACACCAAGCACAGGGAGCAATCCGCCTTCTCATGCATGGTCGAGATCGGCCTCGAGATCGTCTCGTGCCCCCCACTCCACGTCCTCTGCACCCGTCCCAAAAGTTAGGATACTTATGTGAAGTTTGTTGGCGGGAACCCTCGCAGCCAGAGGCTAGGTTTGGCCTCATGGCCCGCACGGGCTTGGCCAATCAATGTTCCGATTACGCATCGGCGGGGTCATCCTTGTTGCAAGGGCACTCCCCAACACGGTGAAAAAAACGATCGGCGACAATCACAATCTAACCAGCCAGCTTGAATTCATGACATCTGAGAAATCGCTGGGGCTGAGACCTGATGGTGTGGACACCAGCGCCCAAGGGCAAACCATCACCGTGTCAGTGCTGAGCAGCCTACTTCCACTGCAAAACCCTTCAACTCCTCTGCGAAATCACTACCTAATTCAGCTATATCGAAATCTCCAGCAACGCGATCGACGCCACTGTTGGTACACAGCCATGTTTTTAATGTGTCGGGCCCGATAGGCCGTCGCCAATCCATGGGAGCAACAAGGTTCCATCCCGCATCTGTCAGTGTGGCTTGGAGGGCGGAGGAGGAGGAAGAGGAGGATAAGGTGAGGTCTCCTCTTCCTCCTCCTCCTCCTCCTCCGCCTCATCCTCCATGCCCATGCCTTGTGAATGATTCTTCGTCGCGCCACGAGACCTGCCGGGAGGGCGAACGGGGCGCTTCGCATGAGACTTCCTTACAATCTCGAGTCTCGAAAAAGTGAAGTCTTGAAAAACCAGCCGTGGAACGGATGGACGGCAGGCGGTCTTCAAAATGTGGTGCTCGCCTCAGCGCGGCGCGCTTGCGTTTCAAATGTGCAGGCAATTCTACAGATGCAGGGCCGGTCGTTTTCAACGTGTGGCTGTCGTTTTCCATCTGTGGCTCTCGCTTTCGCTCGGCGCGCGCTCGTGTTCAAACTTGCCAACAAATTCGCAGATGGATGGCGTTTGTTTTGCCAACTTGGCCTATCGCCTCATGCACCCCCGAACTTCATCAACATACATTGAACAATCGGTGCAACAAATGCGCGGGCTAACACTTGGTCTTTTCAAACCTGTTTTTTTCAAATAAGGTGCCTTCGCTAGAAACCTTCTGGTTTTGAAATTGTCGACCGCAGCTTGCTGGGGGTGAGAGGGCGTGTGAAACATGCGGCTGTCCCCCTCCCCATGTCCCCAAAGCGGAGCTAACCCTGGGGGGTCCCTGGCTCTGGCCCCCATGACTGCGGCGGCCTCTCCCCCTCCCCGCCCCTTCGCTGGCGCCCCGCCCTCCCCCCAAGGCCGCAAATAGGACAGCGGGCGTGGCAGGGCACGCGGTGGCTCTGCTTCCTCCTCCTCCTCCTCCTCCTCCTCCTCCTCTTCCTGCTCATGCTCCTCCTCCTGCTCCTCCTCTTCCTGCTCATGCTCCTCCTCCTGCTCCTCCTCCTCCTCCTCCTCCTCCTCCCCCTCCTCCTTCTCCTCCTCCTCCTCCTCCACCTCCTCCTCCTCCTCCTCCTCCTCCTCCTCTCCTCCTCCGCCTCCTGCCTCCTCCCTCCGCCTCCTCCTCCTCCGCCTCCTCCTCCTCCTCCTCCTCCGCCTCCTCCTCTTCCTCCTCCTCCTCCTCCTCCTCCTCCTCCTCCTCCTCCCCCTCCTCCTCCTCTTCCTGCTCCTCCTCCGCCGCCCGCGGACTTGGCGGACCCGGCGGCTCTACGGGGGCCACCCGCAGCTCACGATCCAGCTCCACCACGCCACCTTGGGCCAGCTTCCTGTTGAAGCCGGCCCTAGGGAACAGACTCGAGCAGCGCCTGGGAGAGACCCTAAACAGCGGGAGGAGAGGCGGGACGGAGCAGAAGAGGGGAGGCGGGAGACAGAGCTTCGTTGTTCGGGGTGCGGGGCGCGCGCGCCAACTCTTGCCACGGAGGAGGGAGGAGGGGGAAGGGGAAGGGAGCCAGGAGGAACTGGGAGACGGAGGAGGCGGGAGCGCGGCCGTGTGGTGTGAGCCACCTGACCACACCGTTAGGCGCGCGCGCCACCGCCTGAGGCAAGGAGCGGGGGAGGGGAGAAGGAGGAGAGGGGAAGGAGAGGAGGAGGAAGGCGCGCGGCTACCCGAGACCAGCGAAGACCAAGAGGGGACGAGGGGAAGGAGGACGGGGAAGGGGGGGACAGAAGAGGGGGAGGGCGCCCAGGAACGGGCCCGCTCAGCGGAGGCCGGCGGCCTTCCGGCGCTGGAGCGCCAGCTGCGTCTGGACGACACAGCTGACGACCTTGTATGCGCGGATCAGCTCCGCGCTTTGGCGGTCGTCCGCGCACTGTTCTTTCACCTGACGCACGAGCCACTGCCTGGCCTCACCGCCCAGACGCCCTGGAGACTCGACCACAAAGGGCGTGAGTCGATCCCCAGGGTATCTGGCGTGCTTCTCCCGCTCCGCCACGCGGGCCGCCTCCCCGGGACGGCGGGCTGCCCTGCCCACGACCTGCTCGGCCGTCGGATGGCGGACGGAGACGTCCACCCAGTGCCGCCCAGCGCCTTCGTGGTACTCGATGTCGAGTATGGCGCGCTCCAGCAAGTCCGCGCCCGGCGGGTCGGCAGCCCGCGGAGGGCGCAGGCGATCCCACGTGGGGACCCGCTGCTCCAGCAGAGGCTCGTGGTGGAGCCAGCGGCGGATCAGCCCGGCAACTGAGTCCTCCAGCCGACCGTGGCGTTGGACCACACCCCCGCCAAGTTCGCAAACGGTGGAGTGCCCGGCCCTGTCGTCCAGCGGGGCGCCGCAGGCAGCCGCGCCGGGGCCGGCGCCCCTGGCTCGGTTCTGGCAAGTGGCGGAGGCTGTGGCCAGCTCAGCCTGGGAGCACTCTGGCCGGCGCACCAGCGCCCGCGCGCGCAGCCCCGTCGACCAGAGCTCGTCCTCCATGGTGCACGCCGGGTCGCTGGGGTGCAACAGGAAGGCTGCCGCCCCTGGGCCTCCAGCCCCCAGCAGCAAAGCTCTTTCGTGCTCGGGCAAGCGCTGCCGCAGGGCAGCGTGCTTCTTCTTTTGCGCGAGTCTCACGAGTTTGCTCTGCTTGATGGGAGTTTGGAGGGCTGCCAGAAGTGCGGCCCCTGGTGCTGGGTCGGCTCCGAGGGGCCGGAGCTCTGCGCGCGCCTGCGTCAGCGCCTGCTCTAAGCTCGGCAGCGCTTCGAGCAGCTCGTCCGCCGAGGCTCCGATGTCGGCAGCCACCCACTCTGCTGCGAAGGCCCAGCCTGCCCAGAAGGCAGCCGCCCGGCGTTCCGCCGCCCACTGGATGCCCGCTCCGCCCTCCTTCCGCGAGAGGCCCAGGACCTCCTTGCTGAGCGGCTCGAAGCTCCTGCCGGCCAGCTGCTCCCAGCAGTTCAGCAGTTGGGCGTCGTAGCGCAGCGTCTCCTGGTTGTCAACGAAGGAGACCCGCAGGGCGTGCTGGCTGGCCGCGCCCGCGTAGGTGCCGAGCAGGCTGCCCGCCGCCTGCCGCCGCAGGCCGTGCTTCGTGAGCGGCCAGAAAGCCTGCCAGAGGGAGCGCAGCCTGTCCGTCGCCGCGTCGAGGCCGCCGTCCTGCCTGCCCAGCAGGAGAGGGGCGTCCGCCAGGTCTCCGCTTGCCTTCAAGTGCGCGCCCAGGACCGGGAGCGTCGCCACCCAGTGTCGCTGCAGCTCGGGCGGGAGCACAGCCGCCCCAGCCTGCGTCCACACCTGTGTCTTCCGCTGGTTTAGTTCCAGGCCGTACGGCGCCAGGGCCTGCTCGAGGAGCTGGAGCGCCTGAGCGGCCAGAGCCACCGGGACCACGATGTACGTGTCGTCAAGTTAGGAGTACATCCGGGTGTCCGTGTCAAGGGCGGTGAGCCGCTCGAGGAGGGGCTGCCAGGCCTTGCGCTGGCCGACTGAGAAGGCGGCCGGCGCCAGCGGGTCGCCCTGGTCGAAGCCGCGGGTGCTTTCGACCAGCTCGAAATTGCCGGC